GTGCGTGACGAGTGTGTGTTTGCATGTGCGCGTGCGGTTGTGTTTGTGTTTGCTTGTGCGTGACGAGTGTGTGTTTGCATGTGCGCGTGCGGTTGATTGTGTGTTAGAGTGTTTTTTTTTTCGGGTTTGCGTATGTAGTGTCTYTACGTGAGGGGCGTGTTTGTGTACGCGGCGTGTGTGCGYGTGTGTGTGCGTGTGTGTGTGYGTGTGTCTGTTCGTGTGCGTGTGTGTTGTTTCGCCGATTGAACGCGCGGAGGTTKTCGCCAAGGTGTGCGGCCATGGTTGAATGAATTGTTTCTCATCCCGAGGGTACTCCTGATGTATTCTGGCGTTGAGCGACGTGCGTGCGTAATATCCGGCGATTGCGTACGCTCTAATGAAGAACTGTAATCTGTTGTCCATCTATCCATCTATTGTATCTCTGTCGCCTCGTGTTTCGATCAATCATACTTTGGGCAGATCGAGGGCTACGACATTCAAACATCAAACAGGAACAATGGAGTGTGGTTAGTGGTCAGGATGTGATGAACTGATGAATGCCAATAGCTCCGATCGAATGCGCTATGGTCAGTCACGAAACATGGACACCCCGCGCTCGATCGGATGTTTCTCCATTCATCATTTTCATACGCAACAAGAGCACACGAGATCCACACGTTTGTGTGTGGATCTCATGTGATCTTGTTGTGTATGAAACTAATGAATGGAGAAACATCCGATCGATCCCGGGGTGATTATGTTTCGTGACCGGCCACAGCCCGTTCGATCGGAGCTATCGGCATTCGTTAGTTCATCACATCCTGACCACTGACCACACTCCATTGTTCCTGTTTGCTGTCCCAACACAGTAGCCGTCGATCTTCCCAAAGGATGATTAATCGAAACACGCGGCGACAAAGATAGAATAGATGGGTAGATAGACAACATTCATTGATTTCATGGTATTCATTATTGATTATAGACAAACCAGAGCACAAGATAGATAATATTCCTTGATTATATGCAGTCCAGATCGACGGAGCACGATCAGATCACTCTCGACATTGTCACCGCGTGTTTTGATCGGTCGTTCATTGGGCAGATCTCATGAGCTGAGTAACTGATGCATGATGAAAGCTTCGATGGAGCGCGAGGGGACCGATCACGAAACATAATAACCGCGCGGCAGATCGGATCTTTCTCCACTCATCAGATCAATCATCCACACGTGAGTGGTGACATCGGCAATACCGCACGTGAGTGATGAACAGGACCATCATGATTGATCACGATACCGCCGCTGATCTGCCGAATGAATGATCAATCAAAGCAGGAGGTGACATTGTCGGGACAGTAGACGCACCCAGTCGACCAATCGCGGAACACGAACAGAGAGCTCGCGATCGGTCGATTGATCGCGTGTGCTGTCTCAACGTTGTCACCGCGTGTGTGTTTTTCGCCTGTATCAAATGTAATAACAAAACACACGTGGCACCGTGCGCGAACGACCAACCGGGCGACGAGCGACCGATCCATCACACTTGTTGATGTACCCCGAGCGAATAGTAGACTGGTCAATAGATCCATCACTACCAACATCACTGAACGACTGTTCGGACTGCGGCCGGACGACCGGTTGATCCAGCCGTCCACCAACCATACAGCCGAACGTATGTTTGCGGTGCAACCGTGGCATCACCCTCTGTGCGATCGCCCAACCGGCAAGCGTATGACCGATCTAGCAAACGTATGACCGATCCAGCACGAGTAACTGATTAGTTGATTGATCGACTTTTCGGTTTGTGGTTGTCCAATTAGCTGATTGATCGCCCGCTCGCCGACCAGGGCACCGAGCCGAGCGGTTCACTTTTCTCGCCCCGATTGCACTGCATTCGACCTGCCTCCTCGTCCATTGGTCGTACGCAGCACGCAAGGCGATTGGTCCACCAGAGGTTAGAAACCCATGAAAAAGGTCTGTTCGGGAATGGACAAAAGACAGTTCGTGACAAAAATGTTGCACATCGAACGTTGCTGGCCATCGAACCTTGTTTGGCATCGAACCTGGCGCCCCATCAAACCTCGGCGGACATCGAAATGTTGGCGGACATCGAACTCCACTGGACGGCAAACCTCGTCGGTCATCGAAACTTGTTGGTCATCCAACGACGAACGTTTTGCAGCCACCACATGACAGCGGGGGACCTGTGAAAATGTGAAGTCCGCCGGGATCCGAACTTCAAGAAAGTACAGGAAGGCGAGTTTGATAGACATCTGTGTCTCTCCCACGTAATCTTGCCAAGTACGGATCCCGACGGACTTCGGGTCGCCGCCTTTTGTAAGACCCAACACGCGGTGCAACCCCAGTGGGCAACCACAACGGTGGAGCTGTGAAAATGTGAAGTCCGCCGGGATCCGAACTTCAAGAAAGTACAGGAAGGCGAGTTTGATAGACATCTGTGTCTCTCCCACGTAATCTCGCCAAGCTCGGATCCCGGTGGACCTCCGGTTCACGCCTTCCGCAAGACCCAACACGCGGTGCAACCCCAGCGGGCAACCACAGCGGTGGACCTGGGAAAATGTGAAGTCCGCTGGAATCCGAACTTCAAGAAAGAAGGGAAAGGCGAGTTTGATAGACGGCTGTTTCTCTCCCACCGCATTTCGCCAAATACGGATCCCGACGAACTTCAGGTTCTTGCCTTTTGTAAAACCCAACTCGAGTTGCCACCCCAGTGCACAACCACAGCAGTGGACGTGTGAAAATGTGAAGTCCGCTGGAATCCGAACTTCAAGAAAGAATGGAAAGGCGAGTTTGACAAACAACTGTTTCTCTCCCACGGCATTTCGCCAAGTACGGATCCGGACGAACTTCAGGTTCTTGCCTTTCGTAAAACCCAACTCGAGTTGCAACCCCAGTGCACAACAACAGCAGTGGACCTGTGAAAATGTGAAGTACGCCGGGATCCGAACTTCAAGAAAGAATGGAAAGGCGAGTTTGACAGACAACTGTTTCTCTCCCACGACATTTCGCCAAGTACGGATCCCAGCGAACTTCAGGTTCTTGCCTTTCGTAAAACCCAACTCGAGTTGCAACCCCAGTGCAAAACCACAGCAGTGGACCTGTGAAAATGTGAGGTCCGCCGGGATCCGAACTTCAAGAAAGAATGGAAAGGCGAGTTTGCTAGACAGTTGTGTCTCTCCCACGACATTTCGCCAAGTTCGGATCCCAGCGAACTTCAGGTTCTTGCCTTTCGTAAAACCCAACTCGCGTTCCAACCCCTGTGCACAACCACAGCGAGGGACCTATGCCGTTTGATTGCTCGCCAACTATGTTTACGAGTGTCAGCGCCCCCGTGTGTGTCGTTTGGTATGTGCGCGTGGTGTGTAGGGCGCGTAATGGATGGGACCTTCTCGACACCGCGAATCTTTGAGTCGATCTTCTCGACACCACAAACCATGAGTCCCGAAACGCACATTCGCTTGGCAGAACCGTTTTCTCCTTGCGCGAGATCAGTGCGGCATTTCAATGGTGTGATTACGATCCACGGAGCGACCGCAGAGGACTTCGACAAGGATCCCTGGATGACCGTCGTCCCATGCAGGGACGCGCGTATTGACGATTGGTGCGATGGGAATTGGGCCACGATGGAGAGTTGCTGCCCTTGGGCAAGCCAGTACAAATTCGCCAACATGTTGAAGTTTGGGAACCTCATCCCGCCGTCTGAAGCTGTCCTCGGACACAAGTTCCTGAACCACATGCGCAGAGCGCTGGGCTGCATTAGCCGCCATTTCAGCCGCCTCGAATGCCACTACGTCAGGTCGTCGCCACGAACTTGGGGAGGCTCGCGGAAACAAGAGTTGCTGGATTGCGCTCGTCACTGCTCGTTCCTGGACCAGTACCCGCTCCGGTGCCCCGGGAATTCTCCACAAGTTGTGTCATACTGTTGTGTGCGATTGAAAGTGTCCGGGTCTGATTTCGCCAGAGTTTTATATGTCGCTGTGTCGAACAAGAGCAGGAAACTGGTCGATGCAGTTGTGCTTGTATCACGCAACGAGGTGGTAATTGAGGGGTCCAAATTTATGCCGACGCGCAGGCCTGAACGTGTAGATAGGTGGCGAGATTTGGTTATAGCAGGGACGGTCCAAAACTTTTTGTTGCATAGGGAGGTCGAGGAGAAAGTGTCCCCCATACGGGACTGTATAGGGAACTCCTTAGCACGACCGAGAGTGTTTGTTAGGATGAAATACATGTCCGTCTTTTCGAAAACTGCAACGGTCGACGATCCGTTGGTCCGCGTTTACGGATCGTCAATGAATGCTTTGTATGGCTACGGTTCGTGACCTTGTCCCAGGGGAACCGCGATTGTCACAAGATCTGGACGTGTGGTTGGACATCCTGCTTAAGCGAAAAGAAGGGAGACGAGTGAGAGGCTTGTGTGCTGCCGAACATAGCAGAGTTTTAGTAGTGGAGAAAGGCGCGGGAGGCAGCAGTTGCTAGTGCACGTCGTCTCTTTCCGTGTCGCGCCCTCTTGAAGTTCGGATCCCGGCGAACTTCGCGGTTTGGCCTGTGCGTCCTACCGGCCTCTGAGCTTCGAGTGCTGACCGGAGTTGGAAACGGTCCTGCTACCAATTACGCCTGGACTCAATGACTGCTGCCATCAAAACCTGCGGTCGGCTGTGGAACCCCGGGGTTTTTTCTCGTGCGCCTTGGTCGAACACTGTCTTGTGTTTGGACTCGGAGTTGCTCCAATATTTTTCTTTGTCTCTCTTTCTCGCGTCCTCCTGAAGTTCGGATCCCGGCGAACTTCAGGAGTCGCCTGCCTATTGCCACAGACGGTGGTCTTCCGGATCCCTCGTGGATTCCGGCAACAGCCAGAGTCTAAGGACCTATGAAATGTTGACACGGCTGTCGCTTTCGAGCTTGGGTTCATCCAGTGCCAAGCTGTGCATAACGCGAGCTCGTAAATCAGAAGTAGTTCGGATTAGGGCAGACTTCTCCATTTCAACCATCCTTTCATTCCAGTGTGGCCTTCCTGGGTCGGGGTTGAGTTCAACAACCTTAGACTTGCGGATCGTGTGTCCCTGACGCCGTTTCTGCCTGTCGCACCGTCCTAGAGTTCTGATCCCGGCGAACTTCACGTTTCGGGAGGTGCGTTGCTTTGTCGTGAGTCTTTGTGGTTTCGGGTGGGTTGCACAACCCGCCCGGCAACAGTTCCGAAGTGCGTTTGGTCGAGCACGGCTCTGGGACGTTGGCTATATCTCACCCGGAGAGCTTCGAGCATGACCGCCAGTTGATTCCTGTGAAAAATTCCCGAAATCTGCTTCCGCGGTCTCTATCTCACGCACCGTCCTTTAGTTCGGATCCCGGCGGACTTCGCGATTTTCACTGTGCGTTTGTCTATCTTTGTTCTACGGGGCAGCGCGTGATCCCATGCGCACTGCGAGTTTTCACTTGCTTCTCTCTCTCTGTCTGGCTCTCGGTCTCTTGCCCACTTGAAGTTCGGATCCCGGCGGACTACCCCTTCTCACCATTTCGGATTTGGGTGCCCAGATGTCTTCGTGTGCGACTTTCTCTGCGCTACAGCCTGGATTGACGTGCGGCAGCGAGTGCTCTATTTCTCCTATGTTTTGACAGACGTTGACTTCATGGTGTGCTGTTCGATTTGCGTTGTCGTTCGCAGACAGTATGTCTTCTTCCAAGGGCAAGGTGGAGCCAACAGGGACCTCCGGGAAGGAGTCACGAAAAGATTCCACGATGCGGTCGTCTACTGTCACGCAGGGGTGGTCGAACCATTCGAGGTCGAAATGGTTCATCGACTCGTGCTGCGGAGATGCTTCCAACCCCACTGCGCAGCCATGTGGTCCTGTCATCTTCATCGATGACAGCAGAAGGCGTAGAGTGCTTGGTGTCGTCTTACGGTGGGAGGACGCAAAGGGGGGCCAGGGACATTTCTATATTCAGAAAGTTTATGGCGCCAAGGGCAACATCGTTGCCAATTCGAAAGGGATGTTGTTGGACCTCGAATTGTGTGAGGGGTTAAGAGCGGGTGCTGTGAACACCCCGTTCTACAGAGAACTCGTTCTCGGGGGCGGTTTTGTTTTGGCGCGTGAATTTTTCGACATGTTGGAGGACAAAAACATCGCTCTAGACGTCCCGTGCGATGTCAACCCATCCCTGGAGCTGTCGTTGCCGTTGAAGCTGTGCAGCGGTTGCGAGTTAAGCGGGGCAGCGGCGCAGGGCGGTGATCCGGGTTCTGGTCCCGCCACTCAGCTGCACCGTGGCGAGAGTCGAGGTCAGTTCAACGACAGCGAGGATGAGAGGACTGCTCGCCGTTGAGTGACACGCGGCGGTCTGTGTTGTCTATTCCTGTGGTTCAGACTGATGCTCGGGTTCAGCGGAAGAGTACGGGGCCTGCAGTACAGGTGGCGGCCTATTCGGAGGTCGACTTGGAGGTGAGCAAGGGACAGGGTGTGGAGGAGGTGGACTCGGGAGGCCTGAGCTCGCAAGGAGCTCCGCAAAAGAGGAGGGGGGATCGTCCAGACGAGTTCGCCAGTTCTACGAAGAAGTTAAAGAGCAAGGCCCCCAGGACTGCGGGGGAGCAGGGCCGTCAGGTTGCAAAACGACCGTCTTTGAGACAGAAGCAGCCTGAGTCTAGACTGTCGTCTCCACCGACAACAGGGACTCCCATCGACGTCGACGCCGGGTACTTCCTCGAGTGCAAAGACGGCGTTCGGACAAAGCGGGACTTCGACATTAGCCGTGCGCAGGTCGTCGACCTTGGGGACTGGGAGGACCTGTACAACCAGCGGTCCCTGGATCCCGTGCTCGTGGAAGGGATCAAAGAAGCGATGCGGTTGGCGTTCGAAAACAAATCGCAGTCTTACGATTTACCAACCCTGAAAATGGCGCCGCTTGGGCTTGATAAACCGACTCCCGGGACCAAGGCAGAACGTCTGAGGCCGGAGGATTGGTGGGATGAGCTGGCGGGACAATACTACTACTACGCGGGGTGTGGGCAGCACAACGCGGCTGCAGCGAGGTCGCTGCTCGGCAGCGAGGTGGCCAGGAAATACGATTTCGAGCGGTGGCCTGCACGAATGGTCTACTTTTCGGACGACGACTTCGAAGGGTACTTCCTTGTCAGTTCCCAGGACAACAAGAAGGACCTGAAGGCGCCCCCACGACAGCTGAAGCTGTCAATGAGGGACATTAGGTGGCAGTGGAAGCACGCCGGTTGCCCGCGTGCTGTTATGGGGAAGCCCATCGGAAAACAGGATCAGGTTCGGAAGTGGCGTGAATTCTGTAATGTCGCACTCAACATGACACCGCACAACAGCTTGTGGATTCTCGCAGATCATCAGGGCGAGGAGGCCATCAGGAAACAAGGCGCTGCCCTGCGTTCCTATTTCCCGCTCGCGATGGCAGGGGAGAACATCTGGAAACTGGTCGTCGAGTTTTTCAAGAAATGGGAGACAGACAGATTGCTCAGACACGATGGCGCAAAGTGGATCATGAGGAAGAAGAAAGTCAAAAACGTGAAGCCTGGGGTTGCATACATCCATAATGACAAGCTGGGCAGGAAGGAGGTCGTGTACAACGTCACTGTGGACCCGGCGACAAAGAAAGGCAAAAAGGAGAAAGAGGAGGGCGAGTGGTTTGTGCAAGTGCCAGAGCCGGACGCGCATTGTTGGAAAACGATGGAGTCGCTGACAGACAACGAGAAGTGCCGCGTCCTGAAGAAGGTGCTCGCTTACGAGGTGGTTTGGCTACAGGCCGGCTCCCCAGCGTTGGCGAAGCTCGGAAAGCTGAACGTCCAGGAAGTGGTGAATTTGGTGAAGTGCGATCGAGTGCTGGTGCGTCTATGGAACTACTACCAGTTCAAGCATGACAAAAGGCCGGACGCGGATTGGAGCCAGAGGTTCCCGTTCCTAAAATCAAGGTCCGCAATTTTCAGACAGTTTGAGAGTCGTGGTTTGGATGCTGAGTTGTGGGACGGAGCGCGAAATACGTCACTGACTCCTTGTTGTTCAAGGACTGCCCGCCCTACATGGGCTGCGACGACGACAGATCGATCGAGGTGACGGAGAAGCTGGCCGGTCACAAGAAGTTGTCCGTCGACTAGAGGAATAAGGTCCTGTCCGTGTTGACTGGCAGTAGACTGAAGAGTCGAGAGATCGCGCTCGCCGAAGGCATTGTGCACATAAAATGGAATGACACGGGCGACGTGACATCCTTGGAGGCAGACATAAGGAGTGCGGAGTTGAAGGAGGCAGTGGTTGCCACAAAGAGTCACACGTTCGTCCTCGATCAGTGCGAACCGGTGGACCTAAGGCTTTGGAAACCGCAAGCGTTCGACACTCTGGATTCCCAACGCTAGACGTGGTGTCCGTCGCAATGGACGCTCGTTGTTTTTGTTCCGCGGCAGCAGAACCTCTCCTTTCTGGCCAGCATGAACCGTTTGTCTTTTGTCAAGCTGTTGGAAGGGAAGTGGGTGAGGAGGAGTCAACAAAAGAAAAGCTTCCCCGTCAGGAACAATTTGTACACGGAAGACGACCGGATATACATGCTCTTCAAAAGCGACGATTTGCGGGCCAACACGTCCGTCGTCTACGAGGGGAAACTGCCGGCAGGCGCCGCTGCTGCAGTGCGGGTACCACAGAAGGTTACGCAAACGGATGTGTCCGACATCCCGTTCAACGCTTGCGACTGGTCGCATACCTCGCCTGCACGTCGGGGCATTGTGTACGGGGACATGGAACGCAACCCCGCCCAATTCGTTCAGCTTCTCGAATCCGTCACCAAGAAGGGGGAGGGTGTCGTCTTCCTCGGGAAGCCACACATGCGCGGTCAGTCTGGGAAGTACTGAAGGCAGGACGGCACGTCATCGCGATGGAAGGGAACTCCGAGCTCTTACAATTTACAATTGATCTCGTCAAAAGCGAGGTCAATTCGGGTGCCCACAATTGCGAGTTCATGGTCGTCACCGAGACTCGGGCTCGTGTGTGGAACAACAAAACGGACATGTGGTTCAAGTTGAGTGCGAGGAAGCGGAACAAGATATACGACTTCTTGTTCCTGCAAACGCGGCTGAAGAGAGACACCGACGCCGAGTACGTGCGCTGCAAGGACCACATGTTCACGTCGCTCGACAACTACCACGGCGCCTCCCGCATGAATGCGAAGACCTTCCTCGAGAGGTTGCAGTCCCTTTACTTCGTGGAGTCAGAGGAGGAGCTGACGTTCGACAGTTACTCCTCCTTGATCTCCACAGAAGACGAGGAGACCTTCGACATTGAGTTCGACGTGACCGCGGACGAGGAGGGCAGCGACACCGAAAGCCTCGACCTGCAGTACGACCAACATTCCGCGCAGCACGCTACAGGGTCGTCCTTGGCAGGTCCGTCGACAAGCCCAGCGTCCCTTGTGTCACCGATGGTGAAACCGGCGCCTGGCACTACCCCAATGAAATTGCTGCGGAGAATACAAGCTCTGGCCTCTGGCCATCGCTCACTGCGTCCCGGGTCTGACATACCGCCCGATCATAAGTCTTGGACGAATGCCAACATTCACTTCCTGCCTGAGCCTCAAAGTCGTTCCACGGAGGCAGACTGGGGCCATGACATGATTTGGCATCCAGGAGTCATCCAACCGCGATCCAAAAGGGTGAGTGGATCGTGGCGGTCACTGTCCCGGATGCAGGATGGATGCCACTCCCTCGCGGGTCGAAGTCTGACTTCCTCGACGTCACTAGAATTGCGGTCCTCCATAAAGTGAGGGCCGAGAATGGCTCTTTCGCACGCGAAGACGTGTCCGTCATTTCCACAGTCGGGCGATTGTTCGCCGAACTTCAGGACAAGTGCTGGTTGGAGCTGACGGAGGACTACTACGACCTCGACACGAGCCCCTCGAAAGGAAGGGTGGACTGGAAAATCCCCCCTCCTAGTGGGACGCATGTAAGTACAGGGTCCCGGGGACCGGACGGTGGGGAGAACGAGGGCGACGAGGCTGGGGGCGACAAACAAATCCTGGGGCGACAACACGAGGGCGACGAGGCTGAGGGCGGGTCTCAGGGCCACACCACGACAGCGGAAGGCAGCGGCGGGGTGGTGGGGGAGGCCCTCGGGCGTCAGCAGTCTATCGGGCCCGGTCGGGAATGCTCGGCACAGTCGGAGGACGTGCCCAGTTCATCCGCCTGCTCGGTGATGGCGGCCTTGGTTGCTCTCCGTGTCGGCTCGGTCGAAACGTTCAAGTCCGCCGGGATCCGAACTTCAATGCTTGCAGAGCGGACATAGAGGATGGACGCGCAGAGCTGGTCAGGACCGGGGGTGGCGAGTCGTCATCCCAAAATAGACAGCGGTGCGGTGAGGGATGGGACTTCGCCGCCTGCGGGGGCGCTTCGGTCGGAGCGAGAGGGTGCGTGCGGAGGGCCCGGCGACAGGGAGACGACGAAGTTCGCCGGGATCCGAACTTCTCCAGGCAAGGCGTGTGGAGGGTCTGGTGACAGGGAGACGACGAAGTTCGTCGAGATCCGAACTTCTTCAGGCAAGGCGTGTGGAGGGCCTAGCGACAGGGAGTAGGCGAAGTTCCCCTGGATCCGAACATCTTCAGGCAAGGTGGGCCAACCAGGGATATTGGTGCAGGCGGGAGGGGCTGCGTGGGGCGCGCGGGAAGCGCATTCATCGGAAATCGACACGGGTTCGGGCGAAGTGGCTGCATTGCATGCAGGGGAAGAAGGCAGGGTGATGGACAAAGAGAAGGAAGTGGAGGAAGGAGACACAGGGGAGGAATTGGAGGAAGGAGGGGAGGAAGGGGAGGAAGAAGAGGATGAAGGAGAGGAAGGGGAAGAAACGGAGTTGGCTGGGTTGCTAGGAGGGCAGGAGGGGGAAAAAGGTGAACTCGATACAGGAGACGACGAACGGACTTTCAGCGACGACGATGACAGATCTGGGGAGTCTTMTGACGGATTCGGGCAGCTGTACGGAGAACACCACGAGGAAGACGACGACGACGATGACACGGCACTGGGTATGGAGACACACGTGGTCACAAGCCTTTCGGCAGAACGTGATGACTATGAGGTCCAAGCAATGACGTCTGCCGTCGATCTCCAACACCGGTTCAATGAAGCTCGTGTAGCAGTCATCCTGACTAAACCGAGTGTGCGTATTGACATCGAAGAAGTTATCGACGACATCCTGGGCGACCACCACATGTCCGCGCAACCATCCTCGACGCCTGGTGTCGACGACCCTCTCGACGTCAAGCCTTTTGGGGGATCTGTCGTCGATTTCTCGCCGACGAGCTCTCCGATGCTGCCGCCGACCATCGCCAGCGGAGGAGAAGGCGGGATCGGGGGACGACAAGATGTCACATCCCCGAAAAAAACTGCCCCCGGCACTCGAGCTCTCGACTTGCTGGCCTTGCCCGCGCCAACTTCGCCGATTAAGGAGCAGAGAGACAAACCAGCTGGTAAGCAGTGACAAACGCCACTCTGTCTGCGCGCCAATGACCGCAGTGTCTGTCAATGCGCACGAGACAAAAACATGTGTGTTTTTGTTGAAGCGTTCCCTCACACGAGTGGTGGTTTTAGTCCGCCGGGATCCGCACTGTCAAGGCCGCTACGTAACGCGGTTACTCTTTTGGTGCCTCGATTGGGAAAAGTCCGCTAGGATCCAGACTTCACAAATGTTTGGCCTCCGGGTTTGTGGCTTGTTGAGGTTTTCCCTTCTGAAGGGCGGGGGTGTCGATGTCGAACGCACTGCTCCTTTTGTTTTCCAGCGGGCCTGCGCGGAAGTATTCTCTATCTCTCTCATGGCTAAACGGGGCTCTGTAAATAGATAGGTCCTGCGTCTTCTACATTTCGTGGTTCTTGAGTTGTCGTTTTCGTCGGGTTCGTCTTGGATTATGTGAGTTCATTTTCAGTTTTCTCTTCCTTCGGTTGCACAGGGGTTGGGTCATCTCCCTGGGTTGGAAAAGTCCGCCGGGATCCGGACTTAAGAGATGTTTGCCTTCCGCTTCTGTGACTTGATGTGCTTTTCCCTTCTGAAGGGCGGGGGTGTCAAGCTCGAGTGCACTGCTCGTTTTGTTTTGCAACGTGGCTCATGCGGAAGTTCTCTCTCTCGCACTCTCATGGCATGACGGGGTTCTGTAATTGCATGGGTCCTGCGTCTTTAAGATTTCGTGGTCCTTTAATTGTCGTTTCGTCGGGTTCTTATTCGAAAACGTGTACTTTTCGTTTTGTCTTTCTTATGTTGTACAGGGGTAGGGCCGTCTCGAACACGGAGGTCCTCTAAATATCCGGAACACATATTGCATTACAGTCCCGGGGTTAACGACAAAACACAAGGACGTGTTAAAGGCGTCAGGGGTTGATGTCGAAATCGGGAAGAAGGAGCATGCCATTGCCATTGAGGAGTGTCTTTCCCTTCTGCCCGCAGAGAAAGGGCCATATCCATGATCTGTGACTAGGGGTCAGGCCATGTATGAGAAATACTTAGCTACTCGTCGTGCGATGAAGGAGAATCCTTAGTGTTCCGTTTCTCACTTCCCCCTCCTGTCCTTTGCTCGATGTTGTGCAATGCGGGCCACGACACCTGGAACAGCAGTGACTGCGATTGAAAGCTTGCGGGTTTTGGACGACATTGAACGAGGCTTGGTGCCACCTGACACTGTACTCTCGACCCTCCACGATGGTCAGTTGCGAATTGCAGCGAAGGATATTCTCACCCTCTCACTGATCGATGGCAAGGTGAATAATGAGGTGTTCAACTTCTACATGGCGCTATTAGGAACGACCGCATATGGGACAAGTGACATCCAGCCAGACCTTCGAGTCTTCACCTTTAATTCTTTCTTCTTCAGTAAACTGCAACTTCAAGGGCACGGCGGGGTGAAAAGATGGGCTAAAAACGTGGATTTGCTTGAATATGATATTATCTTTCTTCCACTTCTCAAAGATAATGATTACTGAATCCTCCTTTCCATGAGCTTGAGAGATAATGTTCTTGAGATTTTCGATTCTTTTCCTTGCGTTGTAGCCAATTCTAGTTTTTACCTTAGTGTTTTCGAGTTGATCGTACACTATTTGGAATGTCAAACATCACATAGGCGCTCGTGCAGGCGCTGGAAGTCGGTGGCAGCAAATGTTGTTATAGAGGGAGTTCCAAGACAAGTGGATGGAGTTAGTTGCGGGGTGTTTATGCTGATGTTTGCGACACTGTTGCAACGTGGCGATCGACCGCCTTTCAGGTTCTTTTGTAAAAATATTGCGTATATTAGACGACAACTGGCATCATGTGTCTTGGAATACCGTTGTCTTTGATTAATTCGATTGATTTGCAAACTTCTGTTTCAGAATATTTCATATTTTAACTGTCGCTTTCACAACGATATTACTTTCTATCAGTGTTGCGGTTTTGAGTTGTCTTTGGTATGTTGACTGCCAGTTTGGTGTCGCGTATTGCTTTCAGGATCTCTGTCAGGTCCGGCTTGTCTGTCGTGTCATTACATTCATCACATTGCAGTCCTCGTTGCAAATTGTGTCCAGGTCATCCAAGGTTGTGCATATAATTCACCTCGAAATGATATTCATGTATGTGATGCGACATGACGAATTGGAGTGTGGATGCAAGACAAATCTCGACGAGTGTGTGGGTATGAGTTCCGTTATGCAAAGAGTGAAAGACCAGTGACATCACGTCTTTTGTGCGCATAGACAATCATGTACTTGTGACCGCCAGAATTACATGTGACCGACAATTTTGCGTTCTTCACCGGGAAAAATAAATTGTAAGTAAAAAATAACAGTTACTGTTTGTACTTCTAAAGAAGTCTTAATCTCTATAACATCCAGACAACCACCTCGGACGAGACGATAGCCATGCATGTACAACTCACGCATAAAAGAAATAAATATTATTATCCAACAAAGATTCAATCATGACAACTTGCTCATCACATTCACAAACTTGAAGTTTGCTAAGTGTGGCTCCCGACACACTCTATAGCACAGGCATCCCGGATGGGCGTGCCTGTTGCTACTCTACGTCTTCTAATATAATTATCCAACAAGGATGCAATCATGACACATTGCTCATCACAATTATAGAATTGAAGTTTAACAAGTACGGATCCCAGCACACTTCCGCACAGGGTTCCCTGATGCGCGTGCCTGTCGTTTTTCGTTTATGAAGTTTAACAAGTGCGGATCCCGACATACTTCGGCACAAGATTCACGACACAATTCTGAAGTTCAACAAGTGAGGCTCCCTGCACACTTCCGCACAGGGTTCCCTGATGGGCGTGCCTGTCGTTATTCGTTTATGAAGTTTAACAAGTACGGATCCCAGTACACTTCCGCACAAGATTCCCAGCAGTGCCATGTTTTTGAAGTTCAGCAAGTAAGGATCCCAACACACTTCCACACAAGGTTCCCGTGCGGCGTGCCTAACATGTACGGGTTTGAACACGCTTCCTCATTTGGGATATCATTTATAAAGTTTCACAAGTACGGATCTCAGCACACTTCTGCATGTGCTTAAGCCGTGGATGAGCGTGCCTACGTTGCTTGGAATGCAGCCAAAAATGAATTCGTTAGAAAGAGGACACAGTATAATGTCATATTTTAACGAATAACATGTTAGAGTTGCCACGTTGGATGACGTTCGCATGCAATCAAACGGTAAGTGGCATAAAGTGAAGTGCTCCGCGTGTCGATCGATTAGAGAAATCGACACGTGTCAACAAGCAAGCAGGAGCTTGCCAATATGGGAACCCCCTGGATGTCACATATGTGACGAACCACTTTCTGTAACGCACGAGTTTCTGCGCTGTTGCAACGGGGCCTCCTAAGGTGGGAAGATTGGTCCAATTACGGGAAACAGGGATCGGTGGAAAATTGCATCAGTACCCTTGCTTCTTCGTCTTTTTTGTCACTTCTTCGGGGGCTGGGTGTGTCTTGGAACGACCGAATGAGTAATTGGTCGGATGGATGTCTGGCGCGCCACCTCGCGTGTGATTGATAAATGTTGACGTCGTTTCTTTCGTTTCGGTTTTGATCTTTTGGGCACGGACATCGCGCGGGAAAATTGTTGAGCTCTTTTTGAATTTTTCCTTTGAAACCTTTTTGAATTTTGTCGAGCCCGATGACTCTCGGAATTTCGGACTTCCCTTCTGGAATTTGTGTTTTTTTCCTTTTTTGCATCGGATAGGAATTTAGGAATTTAGTAATTAGGATTTTTCCAGCCGCGTGACGCTTTTTGTTCACGGGCTTCTTCGCGCGGCTGCAACGGAACTCTGATTAGTGGGCACCCTTAATCGTATGTGTAACTGTAATTTTGGGCGAGTGCCATTGTAACTGTATCTCTCTTCTTCCATTTCGTCTCTCCCTCCCTTCCTTTCTTTCTTTTGCTGGAATTTTGTAAGCCGCGGCTTGCATGCTCGGATCGATGCGTGGAGAGGGGTTGCGCCCCCCAAGCCACGGCCGATCATGCAGAACGGCGGCGCTCCCTCTCTAATCCCCGCTCTAAGTTCTGGTAATTCTGTGTCCTTCGCGCATGCATGCACACTATAAATTTCGGCTGCACGATTAGTCGGCTCTCTTAACCTGTTGTTGGAAGCTCGGGGTTACGCGATCAGGAAGGGTCGGCACACGAGCGAAGTAAGAGGTGAGTAGAGTAGGAGTTGGGCGACCCGACGGGCTGGTGCCGAACCCGCGGGATTGACGTGGGCCACGACGGACTGTGGGCACATGCGAATCCGACGGGTGCGGGAGGACTAAGCGGGGTGACAACTTCGTGGGTGGGTGCGTGACGACGGACTGTCCGCATCGGAGAGAGAGAGAGAGGAAGAGAGAGTTGAGGTCGATGGACGTGGATTTGCTGTTTCTTTGTCTCTTCCCCCCCCTTCATCTGTGAACATACATTTTGATTGCGGCTCCGGGTGGTTTGCCTGTTCTTATTTTCATTTCGGCTTTCTGGAACCTGGGCCTGGGTTTTTGCTCACATTTGTCCTTGCGATGTCCGACCTGCTTGCATTATGTGTATGATTGTCCAATGTATGGATGTACGGATATTATGACTGCTTGTCTATCTTTTTGCTGAGAATCCTTGTCCTTGCGTTATGTATGTGTCAAAATCTTTGCCTACACCTGATGTCGCTGTAGATGGGATAATAATCTGGCCCCGATAGTGATTTTGCTCTCGTTTTTGCTCATCCCGCAATGGGGGTTGCGATATGATTGCATCTTGCATAATCGGCGATCC